GCCCTAGTGTCTGCCGTCCAGCGAAATTGTCAAAATAAAAAGAAAATTCCACTCCGTGGGGACATCCGCTCCAGGTGACGCGCGGCCACTACGTCTCCCTCCGCGCTGTGCACGGCCGTTTGTTAAACGGCGTCTTTGGGCGTTATTGATCAATAGGGCCCCCCTATTCCCCCCTCCGCCACTCCGTGCCTCCGTGCTACCAGACTTAGTGGGATGTCGGTGGAGTCTCCTGTGCCGGTTTTTAACCCTGCAGAGTTTTCAAGGTTCGCCGCCCGCTGTTTCCCAGCAGCGCCGTCGTCTTTTCAAACGGCCAAAGCGGTTTCATTTTCCGCTCGCCGGGACCGATTCTGGTCTCGTCCAAACCCCGTAGCGTGACCTTGTTTAAAGGGGTAAGAAGCGGGATGGGGGACATAGAAACACTTTGGGGGGGGGGCGGTGTGCAAAATAGTCAATGATCAAATAGACGTGAAACATGCTAAATGCTAAACCAGAATGAGTAACGATATCAGCATTTGTCTATCGTGCATTCTTACTCTAGCTCTGACCCCGTGATGTGAGGGAAGGCTGCGACGCACGTCGCTTAATTCTGTTAATGTTTCAAAGCTCCCTCAAACGATTGCAGACAGTTTTTATGTGAACGATAATAATTTGGAAAATTAGTTTGCGTGCAGGTTTCAAGGTGGATTATTGCGTCGCAGGATTGAGAGAGGTGGCGGCAGTTTGGGAGAGGCCTTCATCCAGCAGTGGATTAGCCTTAGCTAATAATGATGACGATGGTAATGTGAATTTAGAAGAGGGGGATTGAGTTTTCAGCAGTGGGGGGGGGGCTCGGCCCCTTCCAGCCCCCCCACAAACGCTACGGGGCTGTTCTGGCCAGGGCCGATGCTATCTCGCCAGACGCACTGGTGCCGGATAATAGTCGCTCGCTGTTCCCCGTCCTGACATCTTCTTAGATCCCCCTCCCCGAGGGCGGTGATGCAGCCGGGCTCGTTAGCATAATTACCACGCTTCACAGATCCTCAACCCTACCTTGTGCCAACCCCCCAACCCACGCACTGTATTCTTCACCTTTCCTCGTAGATTTACCTGGGTCGTGGGGGGGATTTTTTTTGTCTTAGTATATACATTGGGAGTTTTTGTGTCTAAATATTTTGTAATTATTATTAGTAGCATTGCACTGGTAATACCAGGCGGTCACATTTGTTGATGACTTTACCAACAAGAGTGTTCATTTTGAAAGTGCCTCCGAATATGATCCTTTTTTTTATTAATTAGAATTTTCATTTCTCCCTCTCTTTTTTTATCAGCGTACATGCAGGTTGCTTAAAACTCGAAACAATTATTCTCAACTTTATTCCTTAGCTCACATTTTGTGTTCCTTTGAGGTTTATAAAGTCGGCGTAAATTTGCCAGTAAATATATAACTTCATTACAACCTGGATGAATTCATGCAATACCATGAACCGGTGCAACTAAACCTTTAATTGGTTGTTAACTCAGGCCAGTTCATGCGTCTTCGCCCTTATGAAGCCATAACCCCGACTGAAGTGGCAGCTCAGTGTGGTACCACAAATATGTGTTTGTACATCATCGTTCATTCCTATGATGTGTTTATAAACTAGGTAAGAGCCCAGTGAAAAGGATCCCTTTTATTCAAAGGAGGCTTGAGGAAATGCCATGGAAATGTTGCACGTATTATTACGTGTCCATATATAAGCTACGGAGTGCAAAATATCTGTGCACCTGGCTTAATATACACTCATGTAAATGTGACAGTCGTGTATGTATAAAATAAAAGAACCAGGCAGATTTGCTTTGATGATAACATTGATGTCGCCATCAGCTACCATAAGTTACAATGAATGTTATCATTCAAGGGCATTATATCCACCCAATATGTTATTTAACTTTGCATGAGGGTGAGGCCAGTCAAGTGATCTCAGTGAATTTGTCTGATTGGATTCCAATAGTCTAGTCGCATAATAATTGTGACTGTGATTTGCCAACATTGCCTTTAACACTGCATTTTATTTTCTGCGAAAGAATGGTCATTGCCCGAAACATCACCTTTTATATGTTATGTTTTCTTTTCATGCGGTGCTGTTGATGAATGTGAGTTTTCGTATTAATTATGCTTGTGCACCACTGCCAATGCAGCAGCAGCAGCAAATTATAATTTGTTTAACTTTAAAATGGCGGTCAATGCCCTGGGCAGGAACCTAAGAACCTCAGATGAAGACTGCACAGGCTGTGTGTGAACCACAGGCCCGCTCACCCGGCAGTTGAAACGTGTTTGGGAAAAAAAAATTAATGTCTGAGGCGAGCACCTTCTGCTTCTTTTTGTGCTCAGCAGCAGCCTTTAAATAAAAATAAAAAAGTTCCGCCTTGTTTGGAGCCCTAGTAATTTTACAGGTCGGCAACATTTTCAAGACCCATTGTCCGACCTCAAAATAATACAACAGCAGTTATCTGCCAGCCGGTCGCCTCAGTAAGTGGGGGGTTTTAGAAGCCTGTGGCGGCTGCCCTAAATGCCTAACCTAAGTCTGAACACATGATCTGCCCCGGGCAAGCATACACAGGTGCTTATCGCACCCGTAAAACCCTCTCGTGTATTTTTGCATACATTACTAATTGCATAATCGGCTGCGCGCACCCAACTCTCCAGGCCCATGAAAAGAAAGCGGCAGCGAGATGCATTTTTTTTATATACATAAATTCCTCTCCTTTTGGAGGAGGCGTGGGGCTGGGGTCAGAGTTAGCGGTGTCGAGCACGCGGTGCATCGGTATGTTTTTGCTTGCTCCTGGAGCCGTATGTTTTTGCTTGCTCCTGGAGCCCATTGGCTGCAAGATGGTGTTTCACTGAGCATGGGAGATGCAAATTAACTAGTGGTGGTGTCGGTAGTGGTGGGGCCGGTCCTCATCCTCCCAGTCACGCCATCTTCTCGACACGCGCTACAAAGCTGAAAATAAGAGCCAGCGCCTCGGCCTATTGCCTACACTTGACCAACTGTGCCCTGTAAATTTCGCTTAATATGCATCCAAAAAAAATCCACCACTTGAAAAAATAAAAAAGCTGGAAAATGTTCAGGCATGCAAATCATCAAACGGTCATTGCTAAAGTTAATAGAGATTGCCCCGTTAAATGCATTTGAAAACCAGTTCTGCTTCTGCTTAATGTTTCATTTTACAACTGTACAATACTAATGGGAGCGGAAGAGGATGAGGTTTTCGAATGGCCACCAACATCGGTCAGGCTCCTGGTTTTTGTAGACGCCCCACTCCATTTGTGTGTGCGTGTCTGGAGACCTTCATTTTGATGTGGGAAGCCAGAATGTGTTTAGTCTTTCACTCCCCCGCCCCCCCCCCAACTTTCCCGTGCACCAATGCGCACATGTGGGGCAGCTGGCGTGCGTGCACGGCTGCTGTTGGGTTCCCTTCTCTGAACAGTCACAGCGCACAAGTGGTGCTTGCCAGAGCAGGGGATGCACTTAGGATAAGCGAACTATGGTGGGGGGGGGGGGGGGGGGGGATGGGGGGTGAGAAATAAGGTGATAAACAAGAGAAATACGTCAGCAACTAAGATGCGTTTGCTTGTATCTCTCTGATGCGTTTTCGGGTTGTGCTGCGTGTTGTTCGTCACGATGCCCCATGCATCGCTCCACGTGATGGGAGCTTCTTTGGTAACGAAGAAACTCCCATCATGTCGAACAACACGTGGCGCAACCTGAAATCGCAAGTGAAACTGAATAAGATTTAATCTGATGAACAGTGGACCTTAAGGATCAGTGCGCACCCTTGCTATATTCATACGGACGGACGAGGCAAAGCTTGGACTGGTTTTTGAAAATACGACTCGGCTACCCGATGTTTTGGGAGAAAACCATCCACAAACGGTGTGGCACCTGAATATTGATTTGTGGCAAAGTGGAGAAAATCGCTGCAGGGCAAATTGAACGGGAGTGGTGTTACTTGGTGAGAAATCGCGAGAGGAAGGGAAGAGAAAAATTGGTGGTGGGAATGCACGTACATAGATAGCCCCTTTGGAGGTTATTTGAACATACTTCATCTCACCAGTCAATGCGCGTTTGTGAAGGGTTAGGTGGGTGGGGGATGGGTAGGGGGGGGGGAACTGCCAGGACCGGTTCAATAACTCCAAAATTGTCAGCTGTGCCTGGGAATTGAACTCGGGGCGCAGGGTTCACAGTGGTCTGCACTAACCCTTGCCGCTTCTGCTCCACTCCAAATAATCATAATAATAACAGTGACTCCCGTTTAGAAATAAACCTGTATTTGTCGGCATCTGGGTGCCTTGATATAGAAAAAGTATTGAGTGAGCTGCGATCAGGTTTACTCCGTTTAAATCGTAAGGGATCAACGCCACCATTCTGGTCTCCAAGGGCATGCGACTTTATTGCTTTCAAAGATACTGCTTTTCATAAAATAGGGCTATTCGTGTGGTATGTATTACCGTATTTAAATAGGGCACACATTTAATTTTTATCAGCATTATAATTTATTGAACTTTACATTGAAAAGTTTTATTGAACGCTCCTTTATAACCTGCTCTAATATTGTAATATTACAGCGGGCGTGCAGTGCATGGCGTGAACACAGCTCCCACATGTTAATTACATACACTTTATTAATTTATCTATTGGTAGGAGAGTTTTGTAAATTAATTTCTTGCCTTCTGTCTCCCCTTCCCCCTTGCCTGAATGCAAATACCACTGCACGCATGCGAAAAAAATCTCAACCACAAACACAACATGCTTGTGGTCACCCTCAACCACAAACACACAAAAATGCATGCACGCAACACGCACGCACGCACACAAACTGTCCACCATAAATACACGCACGCACCCTCCAACCAACACACACCCGTCCGTCCGCGTGTCTGCGCACGGATGGACGAACGACTCGGCCGCACCCCTTCCTTCAACGAACCTCGTGGCCTAAAAAACACCTCCGCTGCCCACCTCGTTCTTCCCGGCGAGCAGCACCAGCTGCAGGCGCAGCACCTGTCCCACGCGCACGCTCCTCCGGTGCCGCTTCCCCCGCACGCCGCCGGCCTGCCCGGCGCCGGGCTGCCCCCGATGCCGGGCAGTAGTGCGGCTAACGCGGCAGGGCTGCTGGCTCTGTCCAGCGCGCTCGGGAGCCAGGCGGCCGCCGCCGCCGCCGCCGCCCACCTGCAAGCACTCAAGGACGACAAGAACCACGAGGTCGACCACAGAGGTGAGAGGAAGCTCGGCCTCGGCCGGGGTGAGCCGAGGGCGTGACATGCGGAGGACGCTGACGGGCGTGGAGGACGTGACCGGACACTGCGCCGCGTTGTTGAACAAATGGTTTTCGTCGTGCTGCGTTTGGCAGTGGTGCACAATGATTAACATTCATCAATAACACTGGCCTTAAAATGAAAAAAAAACTGAACATCATTCTTGCACTATGAAGAAGGGCCATTGCCCAAAACGTCACCTATTATATATATTTTTAACGCCACACACGATGTTATCGCTGAATAGGTTGAGTTGACTGCTATGTAGGTTTTCACAGTTACGCTTTATAGTGCGTGTTGTTCGGGTAAGCTAGCAGCACATGGAGAGAAACGTCGGACACTGTGCTGAACAACACATGGTACAACTCGGAAACACATCAGAGGGAAAGGACCGGACGTTGGCTGAATCCACAAAGCGTGCGGCTTTTATCAAATCTTAAAACACCTCGCAGTTATTCCCATAACACCCTCACGTCCCGTCCCTGATGGGCGTTTAAACTGTACAATGGGCAAGCGATGTTGAATGTTAACAGCAGGGGAACGTGAAAATATTTATAATGTAACGCCCGCTGCTTGTGCTCCTGTGTGTTTTTTTATCTCTTGCCAATGCTGCTGCTGCTGATTTACCTGGCATCAGAGAGAGAACGCAGCTCGGTGAGTACCCACGTGGATTGATCACACACACAAGACGGCTTGCATTCCTACACCGCGGTACAATTAGCTTTGTTGGACGACACAGAAGGAAGCTGGGATTGTTTGAATTTGCTTTTGAAGCCGGAGGAAATAAGAAGGAAACAAACCTCCAACAAGGGCAGGAAAAGCTTTCCCAAACATTCTGCGTCCTTGCCGCACGCATGCACACGCGCGCATACGTACACGCACGCACACACACGCAACATGCGCATGCACATCCACGGCAAAGCGTCGGGAGGGAATTGGTTGGGGGGTGGGGGGAGCTGACTGGTGGTGCGGCTGGGTTGTGAGGTGGAGGGAGCTCTCTTGGAAGTGAATTGCTCCCGAGAGCGTGGTTATAATTTGCCCTTCTGGCGAGCCTTCAGACGGATGGCTGGGAGGAGGAACGCAGCGTTCGCCACTCGCACTCCACCAATTATTAAATCCGTACCCCACCCCCCCACCACAAAACTCAGGTGCTCCCATATTGACCCACTGCAAACCTAGACACACCTCCCCCAGACCCATGGCCTCCCTCTTGATCTGCTTCCTTTCTCCAACCTCCAACCCCCCCCCTCCCTTCTGAACCTCCCATCCCCCTCTTTCTCCTCCTGGCTCCCCTAACACCCCTCCCCCCCCACCAATTGGACTGCCCGCCCCTTCTTCCCCCACCCGCACTCCCTGACAGCCAACTGCTTACCCTGAGTGGCAGCCACTTTGTTAGGCTTCCTCCTGGCAGGAGGGGCTGCCCAGTCGGTTTGGCGCGCGCCGGCAAGCAGCCAGCAGGGTGGCCACATAGCGCGGTGATGGCGAGCCAGGGGGAAGGGAAGGCCGCGGGGCAGGGGAGGCTGTGGACAGGGCAGGGCCTGCTCTGCTTGGCCTTCGAGGAGGAGGAGGAGGAGGGCTGTTTGGACCTCAAAATCTCTTCAGTTCCCATGGACCGCTGCCAAGCCCAACTGGGGCAAACACAGAAGCTTGCTTCTGGCAGCAGATTCCTAGTTGCTTGGCCCCATGAGATGGCGAGATGTGTGTGTGTGTGTGCGGGGTTGGGGGAAAGTGAGGGAGGGAGGGAGTGAGTTGGTAATGGGTCCGTGGGTCTCTTGAGGATTGCAATCTCTATGATGTGTTGAGGGGGAGGAGGGGAGGGGGAATTTTCACTCCCTTTTTTTCCGTGCATCACTCCCCTTGCACTCCTCCCGCCCATTTTTATTACCATTCTTTGTGTAAAAAAAAACAATCCCGTAAAACCCTCATTTATTCCATTTCTGTCTGCCAGCCGTCCGTGGCGGTCGTGCAACGATATGGGTGCATGCATACATACGTGGGTGCAGACGTACATGCATGCGCTTAAATTTAAATGAACCCTGGATCCTGACGAAACGGCTTAGACAGGTGCGACCTCGCTCCAACATGCCTGTTGATTGGGCTGGAGTTCATCAATTCCCACTCTCGCCGCCCCTCCTCCCCACCGAGCCAAACCCCGTGTACACCCTTCCAAGATTAAATCAGATTCCCCATTCCGATAAGATGGCAAAGGAGCCCACGTTGACCCATAGTGCTGGAAAAAAATGTGTGGGTATTTCATCATCATGGACATGGAAAAATCTGATCTTGTGGCCACTCGTTTTTAATCTGCATGGCAACAATCAAGCAGTTGGCTCGAAATATATACTGCGTGCACGTACGCTTGCTTGTGTGCGTAGATGCAAACGCACTCGGTGCAATATATTCGGCGAGTGAGTCAATGCAGATGATGACATGGCCATATAATTGTTCATTCACGGGTGCAAATGTGGTGTATGTATGTCTTTGGTGCAGGGGTTCGTGGGGGAGCGGTGGTGTCGCGGTTCATAGCGCACTGCGCTACGAACCCGGCGACCCGAGTTCGATTCCCGCTAATGGCCAACACCGGTGACGATTATCTTAACCGGTCCTGAGCCTCTCCTAGGTTGACTCAGCCTCAAATAAGTACCTGGTGCGGTGTGTACACATTGCCACTAGGGAGACAAAGGCGGTCGGGTGTGGTGCTGGCCACCCACCCCCCTGGTGTATCGTGCCGGATTTCATAGGTGCGCGCTAACAGCACTTGTCCCCACTGTTAAGGCTATAGGGGGGATCTTTGTCTTTGGTGCAGGGGTTGGCTCCCTGTGCTACCAACTGGGTGACCCAAGTACCATTATTGCCTGTGGTTAACATCATTATCAAGCGGTATTTGAACCGGCATTGGGCATCCTCTTGGTCTACCAAGCGTTAACAATCAGCACTTGAAAGACAAAGGCGGCCAGGCATGGGGCTGGCAACACCACCCTCTTGTGTGGTATGTTGGACTTCATTTCGGCACTTGGTAACAACACTTGCCCCAGAAGTCATAGTCTTGTGTGTGTGTGTATCAGGACTGGAAGCTACCCATCTTCATCTATATATCATATATCAATTGTGCAACGACCACGACATGTAGAATATACATTATTAAGCATATGTCGCGTCTGTTTGGCTTCCCTTCAATTGACGTCACGCCATGACAATTGTAACGTCCACACACGTAACCTGTGCCACGATGAATTACATTTTTTGGATTATCTCCACTCGTAATTTAGAGGTTGTTTATTTATTTATATATATTTTTTGCGTGATTTCTTTGGCATGATGTGCCCCACCAGGCTTTGTGAGCGTGCCTGCTGGCTCCCGGTACAGACAGCAGGCTCGCTCGCAAATGCACAGCGGTGCCTTTGGCTGCAGCCCACGATACCAATTCGTGCAGGAGGGATTTTTGTATTTTTTCAACAAATAAAATGGCAAGGCCCGCCGCTCCCTGCGCCAGGGAGTTATACGACCAAAGGAAACACGACACAACTGCAGACGCTTATCTGCTGGTGATTCACCCGATAGCAATGGCAGGACGCAGATTTCCGCAGCGATGCTTATCCTGCAGTATCCAGCAATTTCCCCGCGTAGAGGCTCGCTCCCCGGGTGGTCACTGCAACATGCGACGCCGGACACGCGGTGGCATTGATATTTACAAGGCCACAGCTTGCTGATGAATATCCGTGAAGTGGAAGCTAGTCCAAGTTTATGACCGTTTATTGAACAGATACTGCTGAGCAGCGGAAATGTGGATGGGATGCATTTAAAGGAGATTACATTAAAAAAAAGCTTGTGGAATGTGGCCCCCATCTTGTCAGATCTCAGAGGCCAAGGAGGGTTTGAGCCTGGAATGTGTTTTGATGGGTGATCACCATTCCAACGAGGTTGTCATCGGCGCTTGCGGGATTGTGCTACTCGTTGGGCAACAGAGGGCAGTGCAATAAAATCAATTGTTGTACTGTGGTGCTATGCTCTCCACTTTCACCAACCCACTCACGAGCATGGTGATGGTCAAACCAACCCCTATCGCCGACACCGAGTGGAGGAAAGCCTTCATCCAGCAGTAGATTGACAAAGTGCGGTACATTATTACCTATACCTGTTATTCAACATATTGGTCAGGTATTTATCCATTTGAGCAATGAAGGAATGTGTCTTTTAAAGGCCGTTTTGTAAGTCTGTAAAAATTATGCTGCCAATAGACAGCAAGAATAATCTAGTAAAGTGTGTGTTTATTATTATTATACAAGGTGAAAGCGATTGGAATGATATGAGACACTTTGCAAGTAAGACCTGCGTGTCTTACACATGTGTAGGTGATTTGGTTAATTTAACGTGGATGATGACCCATTAATAGCTTTTCTGGGTTTTTTTTGTTACTGAGAAAGCATAATATAATACAGTAAGTTAAGTTATTCTTTCACCTGGCCACGAGGTGTTGTTTGCTGGGCGGTTCACAGGTCGTGGTGTGTGAAAGCATGGGTTCATGTGCTGACAATTAGGCTCCTTATAATGAGACCATTGATGCAAGCCAGATTATTTTTAGGCACCAAGGCCATATTTTTCTTTATTATTTCTCAGCAGGGAAAACAACTCGACTTTGCTCCAACCGAACAAGCTGACAAACGTTGTGTTCATATTTAGTATGTTTTGGCATTTGAAGCTGTTTAAATTGTAAAGGCTTATGTAATGTGAGGATTAACATAATTTATGAAAACGAAAAACTCAACTTTCCGGGAATTAGGGGTGGAACAATTATGCCGCCTTCCCCATACTGTTCGATTGTCACAATTCAGAGCCACAATCCGATTCAAGAATCTATTTTTTTTACATTGTGTAAAATAGCAGCACATCTTGTGGCTGCAGCAATGCAGTTAGCCGATTACCTACAACACATACGATTGTGGAAAACTGTTGCACAACCAGTTCTATGCATCCATCCTGATATTAGGAATCGATATTAATCAATGAATAAATGCATGGAAATAAAACAATTGCACTTTCACTGTGGCATGGGGTATGAAACGATACCAATGAAGGCCCTTTCATTGCTCTGTTGGCTGCTCATGTGGCCAGGGAGGACTATTTTAGCGCTTGGTATTTGCGAGCTAACTCCGGCAGCGTGGCATGCACGCGGTGTTCGTAGCGCGGTGCCCAGAGCTTTCTCAATTATCACCTCCACCAGCTTCTAGTCTGGAGCCAGCACGGCAACCGATCCCTGCTATGGCCGGAACCCTGCGGCACATGAGGCCCGGCCCGTGGGGACTCATAACGAGCCATGTGTGTGTTGTGAGATAGGGGAAGGGGGGAGAGGTTTTAGGGTGAGCGAATGGGTTTCAGCGATGGGGGAGCAGGAAGGGGAAGTGGCTGAGAAGAAGAGGGAGCTGGGGTTGGGAGGAGGCAGCCACAATAGCAACAGTGCAGATGTGTTAAGAGGACCCAGGCAAAACATCGACCCAATTATGCCTGCGATGAGCCATAATGCTGTGGCATTGTAAATGCAATTAGCAAGCAGTGTAAACTATAATTACAGTGTGACAAGTTAGTGAAGTGTCTGTATGCCACTGTGCTACTCATTTAATGTGCACACCTTTTCCTCTGCCACAGGTGTCGTTAGG